CTTGCTTTTGAGTACCATATAGGGCTAACTACAAAAGTCAAACTAATTCAAGCAGGGTGGCACACACCTATATACCCAGCACCTGGGAGAGTCAGGATCACAAGGTCTAGATCAACCTGGGCTACAGTAAGACCCTGTCTTAAAATAACAATGACTAGAGAGATGGCTCAGTGGTTAAGAGAAGTTGCTGCTCTTGTCAAAGACTCAGGTTTGATTCCCAGCATCTACATGGCAGCTCAAATCTTCTATAACTCTAGTTCCATGGAAATTCAACATCCTTTTCTGAGATGTTCTGACACTGTATGCATGTGGTGCTTATACAGACAAGCTGATGCACGCGCACGCGCGTGCACACACACACACCCCACACCTACACATAAATAAAAATAAATGAATAAAAATCATAATATAGAGCATGGTAGTGCTCAGCACTCAGGTGGATCTCATGAGTTTGAGACCAGTCTGATCTACATAGTGAATTCCAGGCCAGCAGGCGGCTACATTGTAAGACACTGTTTCAAAATTAAAACAAAACAATGCTATGGAATAATCCTTCTGTACACTATGTGAATATATGTCACTATAATTGGTTTATTAAACCAGCTGCCTGGCCAATAGCTAAACAGAATAAAGTTAGGCAGAAAAGCCAAACTGAGAATGATGGGAAGAGGGGGCGACATCACCAGCAGACATAGAGGGAACAAGAGATGAACATGCCATGCCAATAAAGGTACCGCCACATGGCAAAGCATGAATAGGAATATGGGTTAACTTAAAATGTAAGAGCTAGTTAGTAATAAGCCTGAGCTATTGGCTGAGCATTTGTAATTAATATTCAGCCTCTGAGTGATTGTTTGAAAGTGGATGCAGGACAGGAAAACTCTTCCTACCAAACAAATGATAGCGGTACACCCTTCTACCATCCAGAATAGATACTCTATGCTGAGAGCCAGGAAATTCCCTTACCCTGTGTAGGAGGTACTGTTATTTTCTGCCTTCTACAGATGGGAAAACTGATGCAGCTGGGACTTCAGCCCAGGCATTGGGGGACCCACCAGCACTATCTCCAGAACGTACTTCTGAGTACCAGGGTGCCAGGGTGGGATCCACTTTGAGCTCTTCCTGGAGTCAGGTGGGAGGGGACCCCAGGGCAGCCCAGGCTCTCCTGGAGCAGTGTGCTGCCTTCTGCTCCTCTCCCCTCCCCCAGTGCTTATCCAGAGTCTCAGGACTCATTACAGACAGGCTGACCTAATGCAGGCTGGGCCACAGGGGTGAGTCCAGGCAATCGGGCCAGTGGCCCAGCCTGAGTCACTGGGCAGGGCTGTTGCCAGGGCTCAAAGTGCTGGAGGCAGTTTGTGTCCAGGAGGGACATCACCTGCACTTAAGTCCAGTTCCCGCCTTCTCTACTGTCGGTGACCTTGACGCCCAGCAGACCCCTGCAGAGAACAGTCCTCACCCACTACCCTAACAGGAAGCCTGGGCAGGACGCCAAGTCATATTTAACCCGTTTATGAGAACTGAGACATGTCTATTTATAGTCTTTTGATTTGCCTGCCAAGCGTGAGCTGGGTGGACGCAGTGGCATCTCTGCGTGGAAAGCCGCCTGCTGCTCCACAGAGACAGGAGCGTGTTTGGCTGCACGGACTCAGTTCTCCAGCCGTGCTGCAGACATGGAAACTGTCATCTCCTTTTCCAGAAGGGAAACTGAGTTTCAGAGAGGCGTGGTTGCTTCCTCATAGCCACACCACAACCAGTTGGTGAAACAGAAACCATGTAGATAGCCTCTAGCTCACCAAATAACCATCAGCTCCTTGGGGGACTGAGCTCCTTCTCCCAGAACTCTCTGGAAACATTCTACCATGCCAGGTTTTCTTGTTTTCCTTCACCTATCTTCAGCCTCCCTCCCATCTCATCCTCTTCTATGTTGGTAAAATGCTGCCCCCTGTCTCTCCATGATCTCCTCTCTCTCTCTCTCTCTCTCTCTCTCTCTCTCTCTCTCTCTCTCTCTCTCTCTCTCTCTCTCTCTCTCTCGTCTCACTGTGTCACTGGTCAAGGCCCAGGCTAGCCTTGACCTCAGAATGGTCCAGCCTCATCCTCTGAAATGTTGGAATTCCAGGTGTATTTTACCACTTCCAGACTGTTCCTTGTTCCTCTGTGTTTAAATATGGTTTAGTTACGTTGCCCAGGGTTGTCACCCAACTCCTGATTCAACTGATGCACCTGCTTCAACCTCAAGAGTAGCAGCTATGACTATAGGTGTGGGTTGCTCTGCCCGCTTACTTATTTTATTAGTCCCAACGTCCTGTTTGTCACACATCTGGTATTGAAGGGGCTCATGGGTCTCAGCTCCTCCCCATGAGGCAGTCACCTGGCTTTGGTGGACTCTGTAGCAAACAACATAGGTAGCCCCACCTCACAGATAGAGGCTGGGCCCACACACAGAGCCATCAGGCGACTGTGTAGCCTGTCCTTGCTATCTCTGGTGCCCTCCGGATTGCACAGTCGCTGCTTTTACCCATGCCAGGTTCTGTGTGGCTAAAGGTCAAGAGAGGGCAATGAGGAATGAGCCAGCAGTCCCCACTATGAGGGGGTCTGATGCTGGGCGATCCTCCAAGGCAGGATACATGGAGGGGTCCCTGGTACAGTGGCTTTCTGTAGCATCTCCTTTCTTTGTTCCTGAGTTTCTGGTGTGAAGGAAGGTCAGTGCCTGTGTTTGCTTCACTCTCGTGTGGGAGGAGGGGAGGGGGGCACATGTGTCAAGTGATGACGCCTCCGATGCCAGGCACGAACTTCAGAGGCGTTTCCTGTAGCTGCTGAGCTGTGGCTATTCAGCCTGGCTCTGGAGAGCTTCAGGGACACTCGGGAAGGCTCTGCCTGGCTAGATATGGGGGGGGGGGGATATTCCAGGTTTTATGAGGCTGTGTGTCTCAGCTTCCAGGCTGGTCCCCAAGCCTCGATCCTCACTTCTGATTTTATTATTTCTGGCTTCAGCCACCATCAGGAGGGTGTGGGTGTTTAAGGAGTAAGGCCAAGGCCGAACAAGGGGAGTCCCGCCGGTTCCAGGCCTAAGAACCTCGGCCTCCTGTCATTATCGCAGGCCATGCCACCCCATCTCTTTTCTAACCACCCCTTCCTTCCTCTCGGGCCAACAACAGGCCCAGCTTCTGTGGTGAGAGATCTTCGTAGTGCGATGTTTACACCACTGGGGTGTGATTCATCGGTTACCCACAAAGCCTTTCTTTGTTGACTTCCTGTTTCGGAAGGCAGGTTTCCACTCACTGCCCAGCCCTTCCCATGTATCCTGCTGGGGCACACAGCCTGCCTCTGTGGAGGACCCACACTCACCTCTCAGGTTAGACGTGAGGAGAAAAGGGTTAGCTCCCACTAACCATCTTGCCCGCAGCTGTGTTCCATCAGGCTAGTGGGTTGGCGGGGACTCTTCAAAGTTGATCATGCTTATGTTTCCCTATTAGTTGTCCTTGTAATGTTCAAGAATGGAACTGGACTAGGGCTCAGTGGACTGTGGCTCAGTGGTAGAGCCCCTGCCTAGAATCCCCCAGTGAGGGGCTGGGGTGTGGCTCAGTGGTAGAGCACCTGTCTAGAATCCCCCAGTGAGGGACTGGGGCCTGGCTCAGTGGTAGAGCCCTGCCTAGAATCCCCCAGTGAGGGGCTAGGGTGTGGCTCAGTGGTAGAGCCCCTGCCTAGAATCCCTCAGTGAGGGGCTGGGGGCGTGTCTCAGTGACTGAGTCCTTGCTTAATATGTGCAAAGCCCCGTGTTTAATCCCTAGCACCCCAAAAATAAAACAGACAAGTATACAAAAAAGAAGACACTGTCTGAGTTCTGACCTAGCAACCATTTACATAATCTAAACACTGTTATGATAGCATTTCCATGAGCAATAAAGCTGTCGTATTTCATTTAAAATAATCCCCCACCCTAGTGCAGCCCAAAGGCTCTTCGTGATTCTACTGTTTTTTATAACTCTACTGTTGAATTATCGGGGTTGACAGCAAACTGTTCTAGAAATGGTCACAATTAGACTTTGTGTGGTTGGTGATTTATCTAGTTGGTTTTTTTTTTTTCCAGCTTGACATAAGCAAGAGTAACCCAGGAAGCAGAACTTCAGTAGAGAAAGTGCATTTGTCAGATTGACATTTATACAGTCCTGTAGGAATCTACTTCATTAGTGAGTGATTGACGGGGGAGGGCCCAGCCCATTGTGAGTGGTGTCATCCCTGGGCTGGTGGTCCTGGGTTCTATAGGAAGGCAGGCTGAGAATGCTATGAGGAGCAAGCCAGTAAGCAGCGCTCCTCCATGGCCTCTACATCAGCTCCTGCCTCGAGTTCCTGCCCTAATTTCTCTCAGTGATGGACCTTAGTCTGTGAGGTGAGATTTACATCCTCCCCAAGTTGCTTTGGTTGGGGTGTTTATCCCAAAAGAAAGCAAACACCGGCAGTGCTAGGAAAAACCACTTATGGTTCCCTTCAGTATGGGTGTCCCTTCTGTCACCCGCAGCTGTGACTGGGCTTAGAGGACGACAAGGATTCTCAATGTGGACAGGTAGAGAATGCTCAGAGAGGCCACCAGTCTGGGCCACGTGTCTAATTGTCTTCACTACACCAGTTTATCCACACCTTATGGTTGTCACCCACCTGCCTACACCGTGTGAGAAACTCTTGCCTGCACATGAGGGAGGAAAGAATTTCAAGTCTCTGAGAACTAAGGAGCTTCTTATAATACAGAAGAAAGAAAGTACCGCCCCCAGTGATGAGTACACCAATTGCAGATATCCGCAGGGACTCAGCCTTTTTGCCATGTTGACTTGTCTTCCCTTGTGGTGGCAAAATGTCTGCCATGGTTTTAAGTCATCATTTAGTTATAGATGCAAAACACTACATATATATAGTATATATATATACATACATATATATACATATATATTCTACCCTGTCCATTTCCCCCTCATCCCCACTGCTGCTGCTTCTTTTCTTCCTCCTCCTCTTCTTCTTCTTTTTCTTCTTCTTCTTCTTTTTTGTTTTTGTGAGACAGGGTTTCTCTGTAGCTTTGGAGCCTCTCCTGGAACTAGCTCTTGTAGACCAGGCTGGCCTTGAACTCACAGAGATCCACCTATCTGTGCCTCCCAAGGGCTGGGATTAAAGGGGTGCACCACCACCACTGCCTGGCACCCCTCCCATCTTCTTGACAAGTAGGAATGACAACGTTTTCCAGAGCCAATCCCCACCAAGGAGACAGGGATGTGGGGGTGGTGATCCCAGATCACACAGGGACGGAAGTTACCTTTCCTGAATAGTGGCCAGAGTTAATAAGCAGGCTAATAAAGTTAGGGCTGACCCTACAAAGGCATCAAAGAAAATGGATGTACTCATTAAAGATGCAAACCCAGCCCCGCTCTCTGCCCTCCTTTTGCTTCTGCAGGCTTTGGCCTCTGACCTTGCACTTCAATTCTGCCTTGCAGCCCAGGCTCAGGTCTCCAAGACCTGGAGTCCCTGGAGTAGGAGTGGTTTCCGAGAGAAGGAAGCCTTTGCCCACATCCCTCCAGGGTAGGGTACCTACAGCATCTGCAGATCTCTGAGACTGTATCAGGCCTTTAGCAGGAGTGCTGGAAACAAAGCAGAAAGGGAATTCATTGGTTTTTATGAAAAACTCAGGGGAACATGGGTCTCAGAATTGGCTGGATCCAAGTACTTAAGTAATTCACTGAGTTCCCTCCTTCCCTTCCCTCTTCCTCCTCAGCCCCCCTCTTTCCCTCTTTATTTTATTTTTTTAATTAATTAATTTATTTATTAAAGATTTCTGCCTCCTCCCCGCCACCGCCTCCCATTTCCCTCCCCCTCCGCCAATCAACTCCCCCTCCCTCATCAGCCCAAAGAGCAGTGAGGGTTCCCTGCCCTGTGGGAAGTCCAAGGACCTCCCATCTCCTTCCAGGTCTAGTAAGGTGAACATCCAAACTGCCTAGGCTCCCACAAAGCCAGTAAGTGCAGTAATATCAAAATCCAGTGCCATTGTTCTTGACTTCTTAGCAGTCCTCATTGTCCACTATGTTCAGTGAGTCCGGTTTTATCCCATGCTTATTCAGACCCAGTCCCTCTGGCCTTGGTGAGTTTTCCATTGTCTCAGTATGTGGGTGCACCCCTCGCGGTCCTGAGTTCCTTGCTCATGCTCTCTATCCTTCTGCTCCTGATTTGGACCTTGAGATTTCAGTCCTGTGCTCCAATGTGGGTCTCTGTCTCTGTCTCCTTTCATTGCCTGATGAAGGTTAATATCCAGGAGGATGATGATATGTTTTTCTTTGGGTTCAACCCTTATTTAGCTTCTCTAGGATCACGAATTATAGGCTCAATATCTTTTATTAATGGCTAGAAGCCAATTATGAGTGAGTGCATCCCATGTTCCTCTTTTTGGGTCTGGCTTACTCTTTCCCTCTTTAATATTGATTTCCTGTGCTGGTGTATTCTTTTCTCCTATGGGCAAACACGGCGCCCAGCAACCCCAGCCTTACGTTAGCAGCAAAAGGAGAGCTCCACCTTCCAGATCTTTCTTGCAGTCATCTCTCCCGTAGGATTACCGTGAACAACTTGGTTATTTTGAGATCTAGGAATCACGTTACAAAGGGGAGGGAAGGCTGTGAGAAGCAAATGCATGAGGTGGGCAGATTTCTCACAGAAACAGCACAGGCCATATCCTGTTTGAGCAAGAAGAACTAGCAGGCACATGGGACTAAGGTAGCTGCAGTGGTCAGGGAAGGCTTCTTAGAGGAGGCATCACAGGAAGAAGAATTTAGACTGTTTCTGACAAAAGCACCCCCAGGGCAAATGATTTGTGGAAAATCAATAGGGGCTGATCTGTGGGAAAACATGGTGGGTGGCGCATGTGGACGGATGGATGATGGATAGACGGATAACAGATGAATGGATGCTGGATGGATGGATGGGTGATGGATGATGGATAGATGGATGGATGGACGGATGGAAGGATGGATGAGTGGATGATGGATGAATGGATGGATGGATGGGTGATGAACGGATAAATAATATAAATAACACCACAGGCTGTGACAGTGCAAAGATCCTTGACTGTTCCGAAGGAACTTGTGAGCTGAGTGTAAAGCGACACTAAAGGGGAAGTGTGAGAGCAGACGAGATTGTCTGCAAGGACAGGAGGGGGAGGGGAACGGTCTTCATTCTCTGCCCTCCCATCTTTTCCTATTCCTTCCCTTTCTTCTCCCTCCTCCCCTTCCCTTGTCTAAGATAGGGTCTCACCATGCAGCCCAGGCTGGGGTCAGACTCGTACCCCTCCTTAACATCTCAAGTACCAGGATTACAAGTGTGCATCACACATATAGGAGCTGAGCTACCTGAGAACATCCTTTGTAAATTCTCCCCTCCCCTTCCCTCCTCTTTCCCCTTCCCTCCCTTCCCCTCCTCTCCCTTCCCCTTCCCTCCTCTCCCCTCCCCTCCACTCCCTGCCCACCTCATTCTCACATCCTTTTTGTTGTTGCTAAAACTCTCCAAGCTTCTTCCCACCTCTGGCCTCTGTGCTTCTGTGGTTGTTGCTCCATTTGCCTGGAACAACCTCCTCCAGATGTATTAGTCCGACTCTGTCCGGTCCACCCAGCCCCCCCCACTCCCACCCCTGCCTCAGAGCCACACCCTTGCCCATGCAGCTCTTCCTTTGCAGGTCACAGCACCCTGCTTCACTTCCTCTCTTGGAAGTCATCATGTGGGGGACCTGCTGTGGTTAGAGCTGTCACCACAGGGTCTGGCAGAACCCGGGGCAGAGAATCCAGCAGCTCAGAGTTCCTCCACAGCAGACTCCTGCTCCTCCCGTGTTGCTTCCTGAGTGACTTCTTGCCCTTTGTGCCCCAGTTTCCCCCTCTCTAGATATATTTATTATTTTTAGTTATACTTATTCTCTGTGTGCACGCACATGTGTGTCACTGTGCTCATGTGGAGGCTGGAGGACAGCCAGCAGGAGTTGGGTCTCTCCTTCCATGGAGATTGTGGGGGATCCGGGAATTGAACTCAGGTCATCAGGTTTGTTAGCAAGCACCTTTCTCCCACTGAGCCATCTCGCCAGCCCTCCTGTTCTCTATAACAGACATTTAAAAGCTTTTTTTTTTAAATATGAAGTGTTAGACCCACAAAGCCACTAAAGCAAAGTAAGGTCAACACTGTCACACTCTTATGTGAACCTGTCTCGTCTGTCTCTGTCTCCGTCTCTTTCACTTACGCAAGCCATGGTGCAGGCTTAATGACCTCATCATGCAGACACTAGTCTGCTGCAAGATTCTGGGTGGAATATCAAAATGATTTATGATGTAATTAGTTCAGCTAAATACAATCTACAGAGAGTTCCCGGTACGTCACATGACTTCGCTCACGGCCTGAGCCTGCCTTCAATTCCAGCCAAGTTCAACCTCTGTATTCAAGGGTCAGCTGCTGGCTGTCCCCTGCCTGTTTCCCAGCCCACCACGATGTCCTCAGGGGAGGGCAGCTAGATGGAAGCTGACCCACAGCTCTAGACTGGATACTCGGCTCAGGGAGTTAGGCTGAGGATGTGGCCTGCTGTTGGCCTGGGCAGCTCCATGGGTTCCTCACCGGCCTTTCTGGAAACCTCCCTTCCCAAAACTTGGCATCTCGGTGACCTCCCCCCTCCCACCCCAGAGAATGAGAGACATGGACTTATCAAAGGGACTCCCAACCTTGTTGGTTTTCTCTCTTTCAGTCAGGATCTCAATATGTAGCCCAGAGTGCTCTTCCTGTCTCAGCCTGCTAGGTGCTGGGATTATGGGTGAGACCATTCGTGCCACAGGGTACACAGGGAGGCCAGAGGACAGTTTCCAGGAGTCGGTTCCCTGCTTCCACCATGTGGGACCCAGGGATTGAACTCAAGTCATTAGACTTGGTTGCTAGCATATTTTTCTTTAAAGATTTATTTATTTATTATGTACACAGTGTTCAGCCTCCATGTATGCCTGCAGGCCAGAAGAGGGCACCAGATCTTATTACAGATGGTTGTGAGACATCATGTGGTTGCTGGGAATTGAATTCAAGACCTCTGGAAGAGCAGTCAGTGCTCTTAACCTCTGAGCCATCTCTCCAGCCCGGTTTTGAGCATCTTTACCAGTCACGCCATCTCGGTCTCCCAGGTGCTGATTACCCAATCAGCCCATGACTTTATTAACCCCTGGGTGGATCTGTCTGCTTGTTCACGCTATCATCTCCCATCAGCCTCCTCTGTTCTTGCTTCTAAACACTTTCAACAGAAACTAAAATTGGCCACGTTTTGCCTGAAGCCACAGCACTTACTTCATGATAAATATTTGGGTAAAATTCTGCATCTTTGCTTTTGAAAATCCAGTTTCATCCAGGTGTGGCGGCTCACGATTTTAATCCCAGCACTTGGGAGGGAAAGGCTGGTAGATCTCTGGATTCAAGACTAAACTGGTTTACAGAGAAAGTTTCAGGACAGTCAGGGCTACATAGAGAGATGAGAGAGATCTGGGAATACACACGAGAAGAGGAGCCTCCACTGTGAGGAATCCATCCATCCATCCATCCGCCCACCCATCCACCCATCCATCCATCCATCCATCCATCCATCCATCCATCCGCCCACCCACCCATCCACCCACCCATCCATCCATCCATCCATCCATCCATCCATCCGCCCATCCATCCATCCATCCATCCATCCATCCATTCCCCGCTCAGTAAAGTTGCACCAGGTCATGGAGAATCCCAAGAAGGCTTCCCTAGGACAAGGAATTCACTTGAGACCTGAGGATGAGGAGATTTAAGGAGATTAAGAGCATAGGGAAGCCAGGTGTGGTGACACACACTCAGGAAGTAGAGACAAGAGCACCAGGGGCTCAAGTTCATCCTCAACTATATAGCTGAACCAGCCTGGGGTACATGAGTCCTTATCTCAAAAAACCAAGGGGCTGAGGAAATGGGTCGATAGAAACTGAGCTCAGATCCTCAACCCAATGTGTAGGAAATGCTGGGCCTGCAGCATGCACCCATAACTCCAGCACCGGGAAGGCAGAGACAGGTGGGTCCCTTGGGCTCATTAGCTAACCAGCCTGACCAAATTGGTGAGTTCCTGGTTCAGTGAGAGACCTTATCTAAAAGTTAATCAGTTAAAATAAGGTGTGGGGCTGGAGATGGCTCAGGGGTTAAAAGTGCTGTGCTGGAGAGTGTAAAGGCCCCAGACCTAGCACAGCTGACTCCATGGTGGAAGTGTAAAGGCCCCAGACCTAGCACGGCTGACTCCATGACTGGTGTGTAAAGGCCTCAGACCTAGCACAGCTGACTCCATGACTGGTGTGTAAAGGCCCCAGTCCTAGCATGGCTGACTCCATGATGGGAGTGTAAAGGCCCCAGACCTAGCACAGCTGACTCCATGACTGGTGTGTAAAGGCCTCAGACCTAGCACAGCTGACTCCATGACTGGTGTGTAAAGGCCCCAGACCTAGCATGGCTGACTCCATGATGGGAGTGTAAAGGCCCCAGACCTAGCACGGCTGACTCCATGACTGGTGTGTAAAGGCCTCAGACCTAGCACAGCTGACTCCATGACTGGTGTGTAAAGGCCCCAGACCTAGCATGGCTGACTCCATGATGGGAGTGTAAAGGCCCCAGACCTAGCACAGCTGACTCCATGACTGGTGTGTAAAGGCCTCAGACCTAGCACAGCTGACTCCATGACTGGTGTGTAAAGGCCCCAGACCTAGCATGGCTGACTCCATGATGGGAGTGTAAAGGCCCCAGACCTAGCACGGCTGACTCCATGGTGGAAGTGTAAAGGCCCCAGACCTAGCATGGCTGACTCCATGACTGGTGTGTAAAGGCCTCAGACCTAGCACAGCTGACTCCATGACTGGTGTGTAAAGGCCCCAGACCTAGCATGGCTGACTCCATGATGGGAGTGTAAAGGCCCCAGACCTAGCACAGCTGACTCCATGACTGGTGTGTAAAGGCCTCAGACCTAGCACAGCTGACTCCATGACTGGTGTGTAAAGGCCCCAGACCTAGCATGGCTGACTCCATGATGGGAGTGTAAAGGCCCCAGACCTAGCACGGCTGACTCCATGACTGGTGTGTAAAGGCCTCAGACCTAGCACAGCTGACTCCATGACTGGTGTGTAAAGGCCCCAGACCTAGCATGGCTGACTCCATGATGGGAGTGTAAAGGCCCCAGACCTAGCACGGCTGACTCCATGACTGGAGTGTAAAAGCCCCAGACCTTAGCATGACAGACTCCATGACTGGAGTGTAACAGGCCCAGTTATAGTGATATTTTGTTTGTGTTTTAACAAATAAAGCTTGCCTAAAAATCGGAGTGCAGAGCTAAGCCACTAGAGGCCAGAGAGTAGTGGCGTACACCTTTAATCCCAGGACTCGGGAGACAGAGGCATATGGATCTCTGTTAGTTCAAGGCACCCTGGGCTATACAAGATTAAATCTGTCTAAAAAAGAAACAGAGCTCACACGAAGGTGATCCCAGCCCTTGAGATCCCACACCTTTAATCCCAGCTGTAGGGAGGTGGAGACAGGAATCATATGGCTGGGCGGAGAGAGGAATATAAAACAGGAGCAGTCCGGAGCTCAGTGCAGTCTGAGGGCAGGATCGCCCCCTTCAGTCTGAGCATTGTCTTAGTGGCTGGCACTTTGTTTCTTTGATCTTCAGCATCAACCCTTATATCTGACTCTGAGTTTTTTTATTATTAATGTTAAGGGTTTTGATTTTTGTTTTTTTGTTTTTGGCCCAGTAAACCTCTCTGCTGATGCAATAATCCAAATCAGACCGAATTAGAAAAAGATTCAGGTTTAATGGATGCCACAGTTCCAGGTTCCTCTTCAGGCCCCCTGGAGAGGAACACCAGGAAACCACAGTGAGGGGACCGAGAACTGGAAAGACCATGTGTTCGTTCTCTGGGGGGCAGTTTAAATAGTCTGTGGGGGTGGTCTTGGCCCTCCCTAGGAAGGGGTCACCATTTGGTGGGCTTTCTCGGAGGTGGAGTTTGGACTGAGGCAACTTCCAGGGAAGGGGGCTTATATGGAACTTTGCACCCAGCATCCCCAAATTCCAGGAGCTGGGGTGAAGCCCCCAATCAAATAATTAATACCGATTAGAATTTGTGCTATACCTAGACCTTAGCACAACTGACTTCATGATGGAAGTACTATTCAGGCTGTAAAACCCAGCACATGGACAGCACCACCCGCCAAAACTAAAATAAAAATCTAATCCATCAAAACCCATAGTTCTGGGAAAGTCTCTAACTTGCTTTTTGGCTTCTGTAGTTCCGCTTCTGGTTAACTATTCTTGTTAATGGAAGTATGTTAACCCAGAACATGGTGTTTGTGCTTACAAGCTCACCCAGGGAAAAGTTCAGGGTTACACTGGGATCCTGAGCACCCAATGGAGTCACTGATCAGCTAATCAAGACTTTCTATTTGCTTAAACCCATGTCTGAGCAGTCTTCTCTGGTGGCAATGTTTCTGGAGGGCCCACTGAGATCCTAGAACAAGACCTTGAGAACCTGGGGGTCCCAGAGCCCCTTGGTGCAGACAATGAA